CATCTTGTGACCTACTAGGCTTGCCAAGTCCCCCCGGGGGGCGGGGAAACCCCCGCCCCAGAGGCCCATTCTCCGCCGCCGGCAGATCAGGCCCCGGGGGGAACTCCACCCCGACGTGCACGTCACCCGGAAGTGACGCAGGCACGCTGGGGGCGGGGCCACGGTCATCCGAGGGAAAACTATGGTTTTCCCTCTGATGGTCATGGCCCCGCCCCCAGCATGCCCGGCGTGCCCGCGTCACTTCCGGGCGACGTGGATGCGGCGCTCCAGCCGCCAGCCGGAAGTCCCCTGCTGCGGCTGAATTCACACTTGGCAACCGTATGGCCTACTGAAATTATATTCTTTGGCTTACTTCTTATTTAAATACAATAACATTTTTAAAAAATACATAGAAGGCTGGCAAGGTAGACAATGGCAATATAAAGCTAGAACACTGAGTAACAACAATCCCTTCCTTCGCTCCTGACAGTATCCACATCCATGGATTTTAATTGTCAGCCGCTTTTTGGGGCCAGTTTGATTGAAAAGAGGAGTGTCAGTCCAAAAATAAATTAAAAATCAGGTGTGGAAATGCCATGAAAAACGCAGAAAAACAATTGCATCTTAAAACTTAGCATTTCTGAATTACTACTCCAAGTCCAGTAGTGTGTGCATGTCCTTAAGACAAAGTTTCCAGGTACTGTTTGAAAGTATAGTGCTGAATTAGTTCTTTTTTTTTATTGTAGGACCTCAGACCAGTTGGTGTTAATCAACCCAAATTTGCTGCTGAACTACCGGAGAACAAAGGAAAAAACAGATACAACAATGTGTTGCCATGTAAGATCTTTGACCTTGTTTTATGTTCAGTTTTCAGCTGCTAAAAGTTCATTTACTGCTAACTCTATGCTTAGGCCCTCTGATCAGAAATTAAGCCACAGCCCTGGACTTACCTGGGGCTGCCATTGCAGCTACATGGAAAGGGCTGGGGATGGCAGGTGGCTCAATAGCCAAGGTGGATGGGAGCCGTGTGGGCGGTGCTGCTTGCACTGGGAAGCCCCTGGTAGCCATTCTCTGGTGACCTGTCACTGGCCTCCTCTTCCTTGGGGCGGGTGGGCGGTGGGGGACGGCCTTCACAGGTTGGGAGCCCTCCTCCAGCACTGCCCATGGCTGCCTATTTAAAGCCGCACGGCCGCCAGGTGTTTCCACTTTGCTCATCAGCTAGCCCCTCCCACCCTCCCTTGGTTTTCTGCCTCTGCAAGGCAGTAATTTTCTTTTGTGTTTAATTGTCACAGCTTTAGGTGGATTTAGGCACTGGGCTGGATCCATTTGTGGGGGAGGCTGTGCCTGCATGCCCGCCTCCCCTGGTTAGAGACCCCCTTAAGGGGACTTGGAGGTGGAGCCAGTTTGCGTCATGCCAAGCTCGGGGGATGTTGCTTGGCTCCACACACAGGTGGCAAGGGATCCACTCAAAGGCATATGCCCATGTAGGCCCACTTCACTTGCCGTACCAAGGTCCCGGTCACACGGGCTGGAAAATGCGTGGGGGGAAGCGTGGCTGTTTTCCCTGGAGCAAAATAATGCGTGGCCGCCCAATCACACGTCCCGTCGAGGTCCCGTGGTTAGGGGGTGAGGTGCCGATCGCACGGCTATCCTGAAGCACGGCAAAGAAGCGGCGCGGCGCGATCACACCAGCAATCGCTAGGCACCGCTTCCATGGCAAATGGGTGGGTTTTTTACCGAAGTTTGTGCGCATGCGCCATTGGGCGCTTTTGCGCATCCTGCGGAGACTTTGGGGGGAAAACCCTTTGTTTGCGACGGAATATCGGCAGGCGCCAGATGCCACGGGATTCCACCGGAAACGCGATCAGACGCCCGCCCTTGCCCCGCGGTGTCCGGAAACCAGTACCTTGTAAGTACTAGTTTTTTACTCCGGATCTTCGGCGGGAAGCCACGGGATAGCCACGGGAGCACTACACTTCCCAGATGTTGCGGTGTGATCGCGCCCAGAAAATCCGCCTATCATCCGTATCTTTAGCGCGGCAAAAGCTCCGTGTGACCGGTGCCCAGGTTTACCCCCAGCAGACGGGCTGTGGTGGGCTTCCATTGAACGGCAAGCAGGTCATCCAATGCTTGGATCTGTGCTCTATACTGTGCTGTGCTCCTGTTGCTGTAATCAATAAAGCTGTGGCCTCTTTCTACCTAAACTCTGCTGTCTGTAATTTTGTTTGACACCACCTGCCCTTCACCCGCCATTAGGATTGCAAACACGTTTCAGTGAACTGTAATTCATGCCTTTTGTGAAACTTTACAGGACTCGGAATGGCAAACTTCAGCCCTGTTAATACACATTGCATGCTTGGATTCTTAATTTCACTATAGCAGAATATTCCTTAGAACTACCTTCTCTATCAGATCTGGTTTTCGTTAGGAATGTGCATTCATTAACTAATTAAAGATGAAACAAAAAGCCATTTTTGAATAGCAATATTATAATGCATCTGACTGCTAAAACTAATGACAGTAATCTTCAGAAATGCCATTTTATTCTGGATGTTTTCTGCTTTTTTATAATTGCATAAGATGAGGGACAGCAGGGGGAGAAATGAAAAGGTTGCCTTCCATTCTGAAGCGTTATTAGATATTCTCACCAATGAAGTTCATCCTAATAGGGGGGGGCTTTCTGCCCAGCACTTTCAGTTTTCACTAATCGTTACACTGTCTCATTGTCCTGGGGAGCATTTTCTTCATCTTATATAGGGTTGCCAAGTGGAAAAATCTTCTTACCGGGAGACTCCCGGTCCGTGGCTGGAGCGTGTGTGCACACCGCACGCACACCACCAGGAAGTGACAGTAAGACGCCATAGAGTTTTCCCTCGGATGACCCTGGCCCCGCCCCCAGCGTGCCTGGCGTCATAACGTCACTTCCTGGTGACGTGCACGCCAGGGTGGGGTTCCCCCCGGGGCCCGATCCGCCGCTGGCGGGGAACGGGCCTCTGCCCCCCCCCCCGGGGGGATTTGGCAAGCCTAATCTTATATAAGCTGCAGGAGGTACTATTTGTTCAGGGATAAACATTTTACTTGCTCTGATATGCAAGAAGTGTGCAGATTGGGTGAAATAGAGGCATAGGGAACGTTTTCTCTCTCACAAACCATGCACATGATAGGCAGTTTTGCCCGCAGGGGACCAGAAGCAGGGTTTTTTGCTTGAACTGTCTTGGAGGACCCACGAGTGAGAGAAGCAAATGCTCCCTTTCTCTGAATGAAAAGCAATAACACAAATATGCACACATACTCAAACCCGTGACCCTGCCCCATCTGTACACAGATGCTGTGCCCACAGTGAACTGAACTGAACTCAGTTACTAGATAAAAAAATGTCTTATGTATATTGCTATCCTAGCATGGCTCACAGAATCTTATCCTTCGGTGGCTTTTTTAACATGAGGGTTCCTAAAATTCTCTATTGTATACCAAACAGCAGCTCAGATTCAAGAAAATGAATTGAATTTAACTCCATTTGAAATTAAGGTAAAGGTAAAGGTTCCCTTGCTCGAAAGCCAGTCGAATCCGACTCTAGGGTTGCAGTGTTCATCTCTGTTTCAAAGCCGAAGAGCCAGCGCTGTCCGAAGATGTTTCCGTGGTCATGTGGCCGGCATGACTAAACACCGAGGCGCACGGAACGCTGTTCCCTTCCCACCGAAGTGGTCCCTATTTATCTACTTGCAATTTCTTGCTTTCGAACTGCTAGGTTGGCAGGGGTTGGCAGGAGCTGGAACTAGGGACGGGAGCTCACTCCGTCATGCGGCAACCCGGGTCTCGAACTGCTGAACTACTGACCTTCCACAGCCTGCAGTTCAGCGTCTTAACCACTTGAGCCACCGCAGCTCCATCCATTTGAAATTAATGGGCTTTAAATTGGTTTTAGTTGAACTCAGGTGTTTCTGACTTTCTCTGGATTATGGGCAACATGTTAAAGAGGAAATTACTTAGATTTGTTTTAATGATTGGCTTAAATAATTAAGATTAATTAAATCCTCCCTGCATTACTTCATTCTTTGTGGTTTTCTCCCAGTAGTTACTCATTCTTATATATGATATACCTTGTGAAAAGAGGAAAGTATCTTGACATTCTGATTTTTTGTTTGTTTGTTTGCAGATGACATTTCTCGTGTTAAACTTTCATTCCAAAACCACCCAGCCAGTGATTACATTAATGCGAACTATGTCCCTGTAAGTGTTTCTCATCTATTACAGAATTCATAGGTTAAATGAGATATATGAAAAGAATACAAAAAATGCTGTGTTTCTGTTTCAGGGATATAATTCTAAGAAAGAGTTCATTGCAGCACAGGGCTCTTTGCCAAATACTGTCCAAGATTTCTGGCGCATGATCTGGGAAAAAAATATTCATACCATTGTTATGCTGACTAAATGCATTGAACAAGGCAGGGTGAGCTGAGTTTTTTTCCTTGTTTTTTCCACATGCTGCGACCTGTTAATAAATTGTGTTATGGACGACACCAGAATACTCTGTGATCAGAATATGTACAAGTGGGGACCTGCAATACTCGTGTGTGTGTGGGGGGTAATTATTTATTTATTTATTATTTACTAGAAATAAGGCCCGTTGTGGAAATAAATACAACGGGAGCTAGAAAGAGGCTCTGGGAGAGTGCTCTGGCTTTGGGCAAACAGTGTCAGTCTGCTTTTAAAACATGAACCTGGGACCTGCACACCACCAGAATACAGCAGGTTCCATATGCAACTGACATTACAACTGCCTTGGGGGGGGGGGGGGGAGTTTGAGGTGTGGAATGGAGTGAAGTCCAATCAGCTTCCATATGCAAAAGACCAGGTTGTCGCAGCAGTTGTGGTGTGGGCGGGACCCGGGCTTTGCCTTCTGATTGGTGGCGATATATGCTGAGGAGCAGTGCCATCAGCCATACACTAAGGGAGTGCATTTTAGAATTAGAACTTTGGCACCCACTATTCATTATATATAAGGAGAGATACCCCACCCTCCCTACTAGGGCAGGCTCAGGGCGGGGTATAAATAATCCATATATAAATACAATTAAAACCATTCATAAAAACAACCATAAATAATTCATTTATCTATTATCCTAAAGTGCTGGAACGGTGATCTAATAAAGTGCGAGGACAGAAGGTTTTGAGTTGACAATACTACTTAAGGTGACAGTTATCGGTCATGATGGTATTCTCCAGCTCAGTTTGATCAGCTCATTTGAGCTGTGAGCGCAGGCTGTAGGTGGTAAGGCCAGGGCCCAGGGTCACTCCTCAGGTGTTTGATGCGGCTCCTAATCGAAGGCCTGGTGGAAGAGCTCTGTTTTGCAGGCTCTGTGGAACTGTAAAAGGTCCCGCAGGGGCCTGATCTCGTCCAAGAGCTTGTTCCTATCTCCATCTTAATTATCCCCCCATCTTAGCTACTACCCTTGGGGCCACTACGGCTCTTGCTCCACCATCAGCAGTACCAGGGGTCATTTAGTAGAAAAAGAGGTGCAGGAGCTCATTAGCATAACTCATTAGCATAACCATCCCCCTTGACATCACCGGAAGTGTGTCAGAAGGCAACACCCACCGCTCAGGCTCCACTGGACTCTTTTGGATTGCTAGCTATTGGGGGGGAGGAACGTGCAGATCTGTCCTCGCAGAGGAGGGAGAGCTTATACCTGAATAAAACTTGGTCTTAAAGGTGCCACTGGACTGTTTTGGACTGGGGGGTCGGGGGGAGCTCTGCAGCTTACCTGGCTGCTTCTTGCTCTGACTGAGGGCTGCTGGGAGCAGGGGGTGGGGCTTGTTGCATGTGCCCGCCCCCTGGGCTCTTTACTGCCGGAGCTCCGCTCCTCTGCGCTCCTGCAGGCAATGACCCCTGAGCAGTACTTTCAGCCCATCAAAAATTCCCCCCATCACCACCTTTCTCCCCCCCCCATTACTGCCAGCACTTCCAAACTTTCTCTCTCATTAAGGCTTCTCCCCCACACCATCAATGGTGGCAAGCCTCTTGCAGTTCCCCCCCAACTGCCGGACCCACCAAGGCTTCTCCCCATAGACAACAACGGCAGCAGGGAGCGTTGTGTGGCTCCCTGCCACTGGGCCCACCAAGGCTTCTTTTCCCTCTCCTATCAGTGATGGTGGCAGCGGGCCCGTCCAGCTCTCAGCTGCAGACCTGCAGTGACTCCCAGCCGCCAGGCCTGCCAAGGCTTCTTTTCCCCCATCAACAACGGCAGCAGTGAGCCTTGTGTTGCTCCCAGCCGCTGGGCTCCATCACAGCTGTCACTGCCAGCCTCCACCGCAGCTCCCAACAGTAAGAGCACTGTTTGCACATGCACAGACAATGCAAATGTATTGGGGGGATTTAAATCTCCCTTTAATTTTTTTATTTCAGGTTTTTCTGCTCACCTGGTGAATCCCCCAAGTGTGCAGAAAAATTTCTTTAGCCTCCTCATGGCCCTAATCCACAGATTTAGCTATCCACAGATGGGAGCCACGGGTGGCTAATTGTATATAAATTTGTTCTATACTATTTTTATCCTATTTTTCAGACCAGAAATTCAGTACATACTTTAAGCACTAAATTCATAGCAGAGTTTACAAACCACTTGTGAGTCTGCCACTGTTTTTCGACAATTTACTTAATGTTGGTTTAGTGTAGGACTAGCTAAGAACAGACATCTAGCTAGCTAACTGGACACAACGCCGCTCAGTTTTCCAGCACGGCACAGCCAGGTTACTTCCTACACATGGAGACTTGGGTTCTGTAAAAATATTAATTTTGATTAATGGCCTTGTCACATATTATGGAGTACACACGTTGGGTCTGCATTCTGCCCTGTGTCAGATATAACACAATCACACAAGAGTTGAGATGTGAAGGCCCAGAAAAAAACCGGAAAAATTCGGGGGGGAACCGTCCCCCCCCCCTTTTTTTCCTGAAGCCTTTTTTGTTTTTTTCCAAAAAATTGAAAAAAGAAAAGGAAAGGAAAAAAATGGATTATGGAACATTTTATTTTAACATGATGAATAAAATATGTTAAGACAAGGTGTTCAAATATTTTCCAAATCATTTCTAAAAAATATGTATGGTATCAGATTGATCTAATTTCTGTGCACTGAGGACAAGCAAGTCCTAGGTTACAAACTGAACTCTCCAATGCAAGAACAAGATGCATTTCTTCCTTTAGGAGGTGCGATTGTCAGAAGAAAATAAAAAAGTTTCAGTTTTGTTTTTGCATGTGGGTGGGTATTCTGTTTGTAATAATTGTTTGGATACACTATATTTTTAATATGCTAGTTGTGATAATTTCATGCCAAGTAAAAATGTCCATAGTCATATTTTATGTTCCTAAAGTAACAGAATGACTTTCAATCTGGAAAAGAAAGAAGAAGTGCTAATGTAGCATTTTTTCCAATTTTTCCGGAAATTTTACATCTCTACACATGAGTTATGGATTCTTCTCACTTCCTGTGTGTGAAGTGCTCATTAGGATCAGGACCATAGTGCATGTGGAGAAGTGACTTTAGGTCTCCCCACTGTACCATTTTCCCCAGCCTGGAACAGTCCTGGAGGGTGCTATTTGGGAAAACCCACATGTTCCCTGGAAAATGTGTAAGTTTCCTCAACAGGCCCCATACTACCCTCCAGGGGTTGTTTCCAGCTGGGAAAATAGCACTCTCAAACTACTAGCAAGCATTCATTGAGTCTATCCTGCCTTATGTAGATGCTTTGAACTAGACGAGCCAGTGGTACATTGGCTGTGACGTGGTTTCCACATAAACAATGAATTTGACAGGTACAGGTCTTGAAAATCTTTATAGTGCATGTGGAGAAGTGACTTTAGGTCTCCCCACTGTACCATTTTCCCCAGCCTGGAACAGTCCTGGAGGGTGCTATTTGGGAAAACCCACATGTTCCCTGGAAAATGTGTAGGTTTCCTCAACAGGCCCCATACTACCCTCCAGGGGTTGTTTCCAGCTGGGAAAATAGCCCTCTCAAACTACTAGCAAGCATCCGTTGAGTCTATCCTGCCTTATGGAGATGCTTGGAACTAGACAAGCCAGTGGTACATTGGCTGTGACATGGTTTCCACATAAACAATGAATTTGACAGGGACTGGTCTTGAAAATCTTTTGCGTGTCAAGCAGCTTCTGAGTCAAGAAGAAGTGGTGCTGCTGCCATTCTAGCACTTACTATAGTATTCGATTCAATTCAAACGTTTAGGCAGAAGACACACAGAACTATATTCAAACGTCTCTCTCTGTTTTCTTACGTTTCCTTAAATCTGTGCCCAGCACTAATGTAATATCTTCTTCAGTAAGTTTTATGGCATAACTCAACATATGACCTTTTTTTAGACAAAGTGTGAAGAGTATTGGCCAAATAAGCAGTCTAAGAATTATGGGGACATAACTGTAGCCATGACCTCAGAAATTGTCCTTCCAGAATGGACAATCAGAGATTTCTCCATGGAAAAAGTAAGTAGTTAGTAGTGAGTGTGCATATTTACGTATGTGAAAGAGGAATGAGTGAGTGTGTGTGCCTGTTCGTGAAACACAACGAAATCACAGACCATAATTATTGTGTCAGTTCTAGAAAATATACTGAATGGAAGTCTTGGTTCAAGCATTTGGAAGATATGCTTGGCATTTAATGTGTGTGTCACAGACTTTAATCTCCCAACAGCAGAAGGTGTTTTCCCCTGAGCAATCTGTCATTCTCTCTCCTCCTCCTGCAGTTGCCTTTTTTCTTACCCCACCTCCTTCGATTGCTGCTACCCATTTAGCTATTGTTGGTTATCTTGTCTCTGCCATTCTTCTCTATTCCATCTCTTTTTGCCAAAATACTCTGCTGGCTCACATTTCCTGTACCAGAGTATGTGAAAGAGGAATGAGTGAGTGTGTGCCTGTTTGTGAAATACAACGAAATCACAGACCATAATTATTGCATCAGTTCTAGAAAATATACCGAATGGAAGTCTTGGTTCGAGCATTTGGAAGATATGCTTGTCATTTAATGTGTGTGTCACAGACTTTAATCTCCCAACAGCAGAAGGTGTTTTCCCTGAGCAATCTGTCATTCTCTCTCCTCCTCCTGCAGTTGTCTTTTTTCTTACCCCACCTCCTTCGATTGCTGCTACTCATTTAGCTATTGTTGGTTAGCTTGTCTCTGCCATATTTCTCTATTCCATTTCTTTTTGCCAAAACACTCTGCTGGCTCACATTTCCTGTACCAGGCTCTGCAAGAACCAAGCATGGTAAACAGCAATGCCAGTAAAAAACTTGCGTGTTGCCTGAAAATAGGGTATTTAAGAATCCGGCAGGAAACAGATTTATAATGTATACTTTGTACTATCACTCTTCTGGACCCTTACATCTTCTCTTCTTCTTCTTCTGGAAGAGCGATTCATCAGTAAGTCACCCTGTGCGACAGTTTCACTTCACTGCCTGGCCAGATCACGGTGTTCCAGAAACAACGGACCTCCTCATCAGCTTCAGACACTTAGTGCAGGACTATGTGAAGCAGAACCCACCCTCTCCTACTTTGGTACACTGCAGGTACAAGAAGAATTTCATTTTACAAATGAACAAAAGTGTTACACATTAAAAAATGTGATCCTGTGCAACTTTGTGTGTGTGTGTGTGGGGGGAGAATCTTGTAAGGCAATTGACTGGTGGCTATAAACTATAAGAGATCAGACCTTTCCTTTATTAGTTAGGGGCAACTGCTTGGTGATAAGAGTATCTGCCCTGCATGCAAAAGTCCCCAGGTTCAATCATCCAGCATGATGTGAGAGACCCTGGAAAGCCATTGCCAGGCAGAATAGACACTATGACCTTGATAGACCAGTAGGGTGTAAAGCAGTCTCAGCAAATCTCTAGGGCAGGGGTGTCAAACATGCGGCTCATGGGCCAAAATCGCCCCGTGGCTCTCTTCTCTCCCTCCCTCCTCACCCCTGCCTGTCCTCGCCCTTCCAAGCTGCCCCTGAGAGCAGAGGGTGAGGCTGCTGAACTTCCCTCATCTTCGCTGGCTTCTCCTGTTCCCACGTGGGTATGCTATAGTTGTTTATTTGCTGGTTGAGGGGGAGGAGCTTGGTTGCAAACGTTGTGCTGCTGGGTGGAGGCTTTGCTCTTGCGTTCATTGGGCTAAGGAGCCAGGTGGGTCTGCTAGAGTTATTTGCTGAAGTTTGCTGACTGAGGGGGTGGGGCGTGATTGCAAACGTTGTGCTTCCGGGTGGAGGCTTTTCTCTTGCGTTCATTGAGCTAAGGAGCCAGGATAGAGTTATTAGCTGAAGTCTGCTAGCTGAGGGGGAGGGAGCTTGGAGGGAGCTACAAGTATGGACGGCTTCAAAAGGGAATTAGATAAGCATATGGAGCAGAGGTCCATCAGTGGCTATTAGCCACAAGGTATAGATAGGGGCTCTGGAGCAAGTGATGCTCTGTCTTCTTGGTGCTTGGGGGGGGGCAACAGTGGGAGGGCTTCTAATGTCCTGGCCCCACTGGTGGACCTCCTGATGGCACCTGGTATTTCTGGCCACTGTGTGACACAGAGTGTTGGACTGGATGGGCCTTTGGCCTGATCCAACATTGGCGTCTCTTATGTTCTTATGGTTGCAAACATTGTGTTTTCCAGTGAGGCTTTTCTCTTGTATTCATTGAACTACGAAGCCAGATGGGTCTATCCCTGGCACCTCCAGTTAAAAGGACCAGGCTTTGGCTTATTATGAGAAAGACTTCAGCCTGAGACCCTGGAGAGCCACTGCCACACAGAGTAGACCGGGGAGGGGGGGGAAGCTTGCAATGCCCAGCCATTTAATGTTTTCCCCTGGGTCCTTGGCTCAGAGTATTGGCCATAAGAGCAGGCTGGGGAAAGGGTTTGCTCCCCACTCCAGGCAGTAAGGGGGCATCAGCCCAGTGCTGCACTGCATCTTTAATTGTATTCGTCTGTGTCCTTTTATCTCCGCTACCTGATATTACATTTTATGACAAACACGGCCTGGCCCGAAAAAGTCAGATTTCTGTAAGATCCGTCTCTTATAGACAGACCCCTGGGTCCTTGGCTCAGAGTATTGGCCATAAGAGCAGGCTGGGGAAAGGGTTTGCTCCCCACTCCAGGCAGTAAGGGGGCATCAGCCCAGTGCTGCACTGCATCTTTAATTGTATTCGTCTGTGTCCTTTTATCTCCGCTACCTGATATTACATTTTATGGCAAACACGGCCTGGCCCGAAAAAGTCCAATTTATGTAAGATCCGGCTCTTACAGACAGACAGACAGACAACCTTTATTGGCATATCAGAGATAAAAGTACATTAAAATTTAGGAATGCATCAAAAATGTGGCTGTCATACAAACAAACAGCAAGAAAAAAAAAACTTGATCAGTTCAAGATAGATAGATAAGATAGATAGATAAGATAGATAGATTAGATAGATAGATTAGATAGATAGATTAGATAGATTAGATAGATTAGATAGATAGATAGATTAGATAGATCTTTTTGTAGCAAAAACTCCTTTGCATATTAGGCGACACAATCCTCCAAGAGCTTACAGTAGCCCCTGTAAGAAGAGCTCTGCAAGCTCTTGGAGGATTGGCTACATTTAGGGGTGTGCCGCCTAATATGCAAAGGAGTTCCTGCTACAAAAAGAGCCCTGGAAGCTGTTTACTGACCCTTTTCTTCCCATGGACTCGGACTGAGCAGTGGATGTTGCCTTCTGACACACTTCCGGTGATGTCAGGGGGTGTGGCATATGCAAATAAGTTATGCTAATGAGTTATGCTAATGAGCCCCTGCGCCTCTTTTTCTACAAAATGACCCCTGCATACAGTTATCATATCCGTTGAGTTTCCACGCATACAGATATCATGCCCATTGAGTATCAAGGGATTCCGGAATCCAGACCATTCTCTGGGCATAACCTCTCCATGGCAGAATGTATATAAAGCTGCGTCTTCATAGCTATCACAAGTGCAGTTACAAACCAAAGGTATAATTTGATTTATTCTAAGGTAAGTTGTGAGAAGAGCAAGGAAAGGCAATTTCCCCTCCCCTCCTCAGACCTATTTAAAAACCTGAGCACTGTAAGTGTCTGGACAGCCTTTGGTGTATGGGCAGCTCTGTTGCTGGACCTATCCAGAGCTGTTAGGCATCCATCCTGGGCCGGCTCAGGATCACAAAGCCCTAGCCCAAGTTTGTGAAAGGCCATTGGACGAACCCCCTGGGCCTGGCAAAACCCAACGGACCTTGCCCTGATTCCATCCCTGATCCTGCTCTTGGAATATTTATTTAAAACCCCGTTGCAGTTAGGATCAGAGCACCAGGAGGTCCTGCAGCTACTTTAAAGGTTGTTTTCCCCCCCGTAACATGCTTGTCGCTTTTTGCTGAGGAAAAAGGGATGTACACAGGTTGCCCATGCATCACAACGAGGTATATCCTTTTCCTTACACAGCTAATATATGTGATCCCTAAACTGGGCTATAGGGGAAAATGTAGTACTTAATTTTTATAAAAAAAAGAGCTGAAGGCAAGATGTCACACTTTACTGTGCCTTTCAAATTGTTTTTTTTTACAGTGCTGGTGTTGGGAGGACTGGAACTTTCATTGCAATTGACCGTTTGATCCATCAGATGGAGATGGAGAACACAGTTGACGTGTATGGCGTTGTATATGATCTCCGAATGCATCGGCCTTTAATGGTGCAGACAGAGGTATAGACTGACTGCTATTCTAATTGTGCAAATCAATCACCCGACCAAAGAATAGTGAATACATATTTTCAAAAGGGTGTAATATTGTTCCAACTGATACCTTTCAAAAGATATAAACCTCCATTTGACCAACCTTATTTTAAAATCAGTAAAATAAAGGTAAAGGTTTCCCTTGCTCGAAAGCCAGTCGAATCCGACTCTAGGGTTGCGGTGCTCATCT